ATGATGTTATAATATGATAGTGACAATAACCTTTTCTTAAATCCAATATTATATAAATCATATCCCTGATGGGATTGTATCAATAAGTTAAGTTTACACTTTATATTTGTTAAAATAAAATAAAATATTTTTTTTTAATTTGGGTTTTCCACAACTTAAGGAGTCATATCCCCAACACCCAAAAGCCACTGCTTCCTGTCCATCCAATCCCATTCACGGAACCCTCTGGTTGCCATGCATTCCTCCACGTCCTCTATCCATTTCTTCTTTGGGCTTTCATGCTTCCTTCTTTCAGGTGGAATATAGCTATAAATTTTCTTTGACCAGTGGTTCCCATCCATCTGCATTAAGTTGTCATACCACTTTAACCTTTTGTTCCCGATCAGGTGAAGGATGTTCTTTTGACATCTGAAATTGTCTCTAATTGCTGCGTTTGGTTTCCGCTTGATTCTAGATATGCCACAGCTTCTCCAGAAATCCATTTCCATGGAAAGCAACATATTTTCTGCCTTTTTTGTAATTGTCCAAACTTCTGATCTGTAGGTGGCTACGCTTTCTACAAAGGAATGATAGATCTTCGTTTTAGTTTCCAATCTTATTTTCTTACTCCATAGGGTTGAATTTATTGAACTTATTATTCTTTTCCCATTGTTTATTTTATGTTCAATGTCAACCTCACTACCTCCTTTAGAAGAGAGCCAGTATCCGAGGTACATGAATTGCTGCTTGCTGACATTGAGCGTCAAGTCATCAATTTCAAGGGATAAATTTGGAGCGCTGAAATCCATGCACTCTGTTTTACTTTTACTGATTTTCAGACCTCATCTGGAATACTTGTCTAGCAACTTCATCATCATATAACTCACATCATCCAGATTGGATACGATTATGACTTGATCATCGCCATACTGCAAATTTTAGATGACATCTTCCCCGATTTGAACATCCATTCTACCGCACCATCTTTTCCAGTCTTTAAGGGCTTGTTCTACATAAATGTTGAAAATCAAGGGTGAAAGGCAGCAGCCTTGTTTCAATCCTTTGTTAATGGGGAAGCTTCTAGACATTCTATCTCCTATTTTTATAGCCCCCGTTATATTTTTATAGAGCCCTTAATTTGCTCTGATGAGGTATCTCTTAATAGATGTGGCTTTTAAAGCTTTCCACAATTTCTCTAGAGGTACTGAATCATAATAAAATATTCCATCCATAAAATATCTGACATACTTTCTTTTTTTTTTGACATCAAAGTGATGAGACGAAGTTTGAAAAGAACATGAACACACTTAGTTATAAAATTATAAAAACATATGATCCTGCATCCTAAAGTAATAATTTATAAGTGGATATAAATTACACTACCATTTACCACCATTTAGGTTACAATGAAAAAATAAAACAAAAATATGTTCATTAACAAACTTAGAAAGGAAAATTGCACGGTAATGAAATTTAAGTACTATAATTAATTATAAAATCAAATTATTCATAAAATTCTATGTTTTCTTTAATATTTCATTATGAAGAAATGTTTCTTTACAATACAGCAGTGAGAAAAAAAAAAAGATTAAATCTAACTGTTTTAGGGAAAACTCAAAATTTTCTCATGTAAAATAAGAATCACCCATATTGTATTTCAGTTAAAAGGTTTTATAAGTTTTAACATTAGGTGATGCAAATAAAATTAAGTAACTTCTGAGGAGTACTAGTCTAAAGTTTTTTAGAAAGTTTAAAAAAATTAAAGTTTTTTAATAATTCTAGGGTAAATAATTTTGTGTATCTAGGATCCTTAGTTTGTGCAGATAATGTGCCTAGTCAAGAAGTGCAGAGAAGAATTACGTCAGCTAATAGGTGCTATTTTGGCCGAGCTAAAATTTTAAGAAGTCATCTGCTGGTTAGATCCCATAATCTCACTTTGCACAAATCTCTTATAAGACCTGTACTGACATATAGCTCAGAGACATGGTCATTACCATGAACAGACGCCATCAGATTACAGATTTTCCAGAGAAAAATCCTCAGAAGAATGTTTGGCCCTGTAAATGTTGAAAATCAGTATGGGCTAAGGCATAATGCAGAATTGTGCCAAATTTACCGGCAACCGGATGTGGTGCAATTTATACGGCTCTCTAGGCTAAGATGGGTTGGGCAGGGTGCAAGGATGGATGGAGACTCACCAATCAAGCGGCTACTTTTGGGTATGTGGATGGCAGAAGAAAGAGAGGACGACCAAGACTGAGATGGGCAGATGAGGCTTCTGGACAATAGAGCTTGGCAGACCCTTGCACAAGACATAGAGGAATGGAGGCGACACATTGATGCAGCGAAGGCCCGTACCGCCTGTGATGATGATGATGATGATATAATTCTAGGTTAATAAACAAATGCTCGAGTCTTAGAGCATTTACTAGATTGATAATTATTTGGAATGGTTTCAAAAAATTTCTTAATTAGATGTTTCTCTTTTTTCTCTTTTCTTTATTTTTAAACAGTTGCTTTCCAAAAGAGCTGCTATCATATTTCTCAGATCTGGTGAGACACCTCTTGCATCTCATTGTCCCCAAAACTACTATCTGTGTCAAGAAAAACACTGCACATTATTAATTTATGTTTAGTTCATTATTAATTAAATCTCCTCTTTTGTTGTTGTTTTTCTTTGATCATATGATCGAACTACAGATGAAATTCCAAGAATGACCATGTTGTGTAGCTTTTATTGTGCTGTACATTATCCAGATTAAATAACATCAAAGATGTAAAAGTAGTTTGAATATAAATGTTATTTTATTTTAACCTTAATACATAGTAACTACACTCAAATTAAAAATCTAAGAATTAAAGATCATTATAGCTTTATAAATAAATGTATTAATAAATAACTTAAATGAATATCAATTATCTTTCATTGATTTAATATTTATCACTATCAATTTTACTCACATATAATATTCATCTCATTCGTTTAAAAAGTAAATTAAAATATGAACAAAAATGTAAAAGGTACATTATGTAAATATTTTTAATCAAAATTTACTAATTATAATTATCAATAGTACAAATTGTTTAATTATAGGTTTTAAATAAGTTCTTTTTTTTTAAATAAAGATCTAAAATGCTCAGTTTGTTTTATAAATTGTTCTTTTTTCTTTTTTTTTAATATTTAATGTGTAAACAAATTATGATTTAGCAAATAGCATTATAACCAAGTATTTTGATACTTACAATAAGCTTGACAAAAATACTATAAATTATATTAGCAATACTACTGGCCTACAATGTTCCAAGGAATTATGGCAATTAAGCCATGAAAGAAATGAGCCAAAAAGAAGCAGGCTGTCCATTGGCAAAAATTATGTATTTACTACATCCATTTAATCTAATACAAAATGAATTATTATCAGAATTCATAAAATGTTTTTTTATAAAACTTTTTATTTGCATAGATTATACTAAATCATGTATTATCTTTGGTTTAAATGAAAAAAAAAATACTATAAATTTTTATATAAACTATGTTAATCATAATCTTATTAATTTCTCATTTATTGGAGCTTTCATAATGTATTAATTATTTTTACACGTGGAAGTTAATGTACACAATTTTAAAAATCAATGAACACAAATCAAATTAATTTTTTTCTCTTGATTGTGAAGGGGGAGAGTTGATACTAGAGATGGGAGAAATAAAATGTATTATTATTTCTTTTGAAAAGTGCACCATTTATGAACCTGTTATATTGAACTGGCTAAAAAAAGTTATTGACTGTTCTAGATCGCAGATCACATCCTGTGGAAGAAGTTCTGTTTATTATTCAGGTATAGTTTATTGTACAGTTCCTGTACAAACAAAATTACATGGAAAATGGTTAACAAATCTGTTTGGCTGGACAAATTATTTCAAAGGTGTATTTAGACATTTCACAAACTATGGGACATATAAATATATAAATGGTTATTTCACTATCATAATATTTTTTTTTCTTGATGTTGATATTTTCCATCTGCTGTCGGTATCAAGAGAAATAAAATAAATAGTTTAGTTTAGCTATAATTTTGCTGTTAGTTTAGTTAGATAATTGTTTTTTCCATTGTTTGTGAAATATCTAAATGCACCTTCAGATATATCTTGTTTTTTACTGAACTAAGGTGAAGCCACAAGGACCATGAGGTCATTATGAAACCATAAGACCATATGTTCAGATAGACCAATTTTTTAGTTCGATAGATCAAAATATTCAGTGAAAACCTGTGTGTTTCGGAGAAAAAATATTGAGCTCAAAATACTAAAAACATATTATATTTTAAGTATTCTAGATTTTTTGTTGGTTTCATTGATATTTATCATGTGCATGTTCGTGATCATTTGTGATGGATAAAAATACTTGAAAAACTAAAAACGTTAAAATAAATTTATTAGAATTTAGAAAATTCTACCAAGGTAGATGGATGGTACATGCAAATTGATATACAGGAATATTTAAAAATAGTGTTGTAGTCAGGTGTCTTCCACTACAGATTACGGCCAGGTAGATTTTGTCACATGCATCCATGGCTTATAGTATAAACTTTAATAAAATCCAAGAGTATTCTATTCCCTGAGCATGCAAATGTGCATGTCAAATCCAAGTCATGAGTTTCATTGGGGAGTGAAAGGCATCCACTACTGCACCAAGTTTAAATACATCTCAAATCCACTAATAGTCTACTAATATATTTAAGTAGATATGCAAGTAAGAAAAAATGTAAATTGGCGGAAACTTTGCATATTATTCTGTACATTATTACAATAAATTCAATAGTAGGTAACACAAAATAAACCCATAATTTCCTACAGGACTGATTAATAATTGAATTTAATTATAATAGTAAAAATTTGTTATATTGATATTTATTTTTTAAATTTTTCTCTTCATGAAATTCCTGGATTAACTTATTAATAATTACAGTTCATTTCCTACTGCTGTCTATACCTCTTTGGCACAGATTTAACATCGGGGGAGGGAAATATCAGGTTACCACAAACATCAGGTTTTGAATTATCAACAACCAGTTTCAGAAAGTTAATTTGTATGAAATCTTATGAATAAATGAGTGCTTCAGATGACGATGTTCCAACTCTATCTGCGGAAGCGTTAAAAGCTCTTAATGAATTTTATCATGAGCAGGAAGAAGAAAGAAGTAAACTGGAAAGAGTTCAAAATAATCTGAAAGACTGTGACATATCAGCTTTCCAAGAAAACTGGGTAACCAGATTTAAAATGTTTTATAAGTATACTTTCTACTTTAAGGACTATCTTTTGGTGATGGCAGTGGTACAAGGATTAAAGAATAATAATAATTTTCCAAGATGTTCAGAATATTGAAAATGTGATGAAAAATTAGTTATCACAGGCTTTTCAGCCTAATCTAAATGAACTCATGAATGATCATTACGCACTAATAAAACTTATAACTAAAGAAATAAATATTCTTAATTTTATTTATCTAAAAATATTATGTGTTGTAATCTTTGTTTGTATTTAACCCACTTTTTACAGAGAGTTGGGGATAGAGATTGGATTTGTGATTTATAAATTACCAGATCCTATCGGAAACAAAATAAAAAGAGAACTTTTAAAGAATAAAGTTTACCTTGGGAGAATAAAAATCAAGTTCTATTGTGGCTTACTAGCTAAATAGCAGCCAATCCTTTATTTGAACACTTTTTACAATTTACAAAATAGTTGCCAAAATTTCCTCATTTATTGGTTACAGCCATTAAGAGAATCTGGAGTAGCATCTCTAGTGTATTCAGGAAGGTTCCACTACCTTCCTGTACCTTGAGCAATGTCTTGAGATGAAAAACAAAAGCTTGTTTTATAAGTGTCACTATGGTTGTGAAATTATCTTTCTATAGTAATGCAATAAAAGTTCTAGTTACCTTGTGTTCGAGTGATTTACTAAATTTCATCAGCGAAATTTTGGTTGGCATTAGTTGATAAGAATAATTAATTTCTTGACCTCTAAGCAGATGACTATTTTTGCTGATTAAATACCTATAATCATCAGCACCAACCTAGTTTTTAATACATTAGTGTTATTTATCAGTTAATATAATGTGTATATAATTATAACTTCTTTTTTTTTAAGCAATTAAGTCAGTTTTGGTATGATAATTCTACAATAGAAGCCTTGACTAGTGAAATATGTAAAATTAGCCGAGAAAATGGAAGAATAGCTCTTATTTCATGTCCTTCCCTTTATAAATCATTGAAATCGAAAGCAAAAAATCGTGAAGGTAAAATTAATTAAATTAATGTTGAAAATAAATATTCATTTATTGTTTACCATATTTTTCTTTTATATTTTTAGTTATTCTTTTTGAATATGACAAAAGGTTTGCAATGTATGGCCTAGATTATAATTTCTATGATTACAACTCTCCACTCGATGTTCCTCGAGAATTGGCTGGATACTTCGATGTAGTTGTTGCTGATCCACCATTTCTTTCTGAAGACTGCATCACCAAGACTGCTGTAACAATAAAATTTTTTACAAAATCCAAAATTATTTTGTGTACAGGTAATGTTTGAGAATTTTCATTAACTATGTTATCATTACTTCAACATTTTGTATTTTAGCGAACTTACACCACGCAACAATCAGATTAGTAGTATTATTAAAATGTTTATAAAGTTCTGTTAAATTAAATATAAAAGAAGCTTTATTGCTTTGAATTAGGTTAGTAAATCTGGAACAGTATTTAATGAAGTGTCTTGGCTGATAATATCCATAAAATCTTGGATAATGATTATATCTCATTATTAATAAAGCTAAACATTTTTATTCATACAATTGACTTATTTAACCTTAGAATAGATGCTACTGATTTTTTTTATGATACTTATCAGTCTTTGTATCCTATAAGTCCTCAGAAATCTGATTTCATTACTCTGGATTATATGATTAGTGAGATAGATATGTGTAGTGTAAATAACCTACTGAAAGTTAAATGTAAATAATTTGTTTTGGCGGGAATAGGCGGATAGCCTTCCCTTTATATATCGGGGAACTTAGGTTATTTACACTCCTGTATATTAAAACAAATCCCCTGCACTGGATATAGACTTTTTTGAGGGTGTTAAATTGTCGTTGGGAATTCGGGAATCTAATACCTTTTGTGACATTGAGTGAGAAGAAACAATTAGAATATATATTTGAAATGTGGGACTTAGTAAATACACTTTGAATGAATTGACTCACCGGGTTTGTTATTCTTCAATCGTGAGGCATATAGGACAACTAAATAAAATGACTTTCACTCCTGTATAATAAAATAATTTATTTCTACAACTGTAATAAATCGACTCTATTAAAGTGTTATAATTATACAATTGATCTTCTAAATCTTGTAGTAGACTCTCTTCCCAGGTATGTGTTCCGCCTCAAGTCCGTCCTCTCTTCTGACAACCTCCTTTCTACCTGTCCTGGCCTAGAATGCCTTCTCTTCCCTCCAGCTTTTGCTACCTGCTGGGTCCTTTCGGTACCTCCCACCTTGTTCCTTCTTCATCGATTATTTATCGATATGAGACTTTTCAAAGAACAATTTGTCCACTGCACAATTGAGTACAATTCACAGTGCAACCTCACATTCCTATATATTATATATTCCTTCTCATACCCTCACATAATGTCAACTAAAGGAGTAAATACAGGGGGCTATCTACTACAGTAGACTTAAGAGGTGGGATGACAATCACCTTCTGGATGATAAAAGAGGAGTCGAGAACATCATTTCACCCACTCCCAACAATTCAATGTACCTAGATAAAAATAATAATAATAATAAAAGGCTTAGCGAACCCGAAGGTTCGATGCCGACACCACCAATCGCTTATTACACACCTCCCTCCACCGTTCGCCGTCCAAACCCAGTCCCTTCAGATCGGCTTTAATGCAATCTTCCCACCTTCGCTTCGGTCTACCCCTCGGACGCTTACCATTCGGCACAGCAAATATTAACCTTTTAGGAATTCTCTCGTTACTAAGCCCAACAACTTTACAAGCCCATTTGATTCGCCGCGATGAAATTACCTCAATTATATTACCCGGATACAGTTCACGCAATTCGGCGTTGTGTAACCGTCTGAACTCTCCGGTTAACTCATCCTTCTTCGGTCCGAATATTCTACGCAATACTTTATTTTCAAAAACCTTAAGACGCTGCTCATCCCTTAATGTAAGCGGCCAAGTTTCGCATCCATAAAGAACTGTAGGCAAGATAATTGTTTTATAGATTCTAATTTTTAAGTTTCGGGACAAGAGGCGCGAACTAAGTAGTTTTGTCACAGAAAAATAACAAGCATTTCCCGCCTTCAGTCTAACCTTAATCTCTTCTTCAATTTCGTTTTTTCTAGTTATCGTAGAACCTAGATACCTAAATTTATCTACCTGTTCAAACATATTACCATCTATATCGATATCACCAGTAGTATCGCCATTTTTGCAGCTAACCATATATTTTGTTTTATCCACGTTTATTTCGAGTCCTAGTTCTTTACCGGCTTTCATTAACGTTGTCGTATTTAGTTTTATAGTTTCAACGTCTTCGCTTAACAGTACCAGATCATCAGCATAGCCCAGCACGGATGTTGTCCCGCCCAGATCCAACCCTTTCTCGGTACGCATTACCTCCCTAATGGCATGTTCTAATGCCAAATTGAACAGGACAGGCGAAAGGGAATCCCCCTGTTTTAAGCCCGAACGAACCTCAAATTTTTCGGACAAATTATTACCGATTCTAACTATACATGAATGACTAAAAAATATAAACTAAAATTATTGAACAAAATTGGAGTATATGGAATAACTGGCTCAGCTTAGCCCTTGAAGTGCATTAGTGAATTAACAATATCTATAAAATCCTATTATTTATATTTTGTTCATATTCAAATATAATAATATAAATAAGGTAAGCATTATTTTATCAAAGAAATTTCTTGTTTTTTTTAAGAAGTTTCTTGTATATTTTTCATTCTTCAACTTATTCTGTTTTAATTTAGTTAAATTTTTATATATGTTCGTTTTGAAAATAACCAATTTTATCCTTACTCAAGAATAATATGTTTACTTTAGTAACAAACTAATATTACTTTGCCAATATATTTAAACTCTCTCTTAAACATAGTAAGCAGATCATAATTAAATGAAGAATCTGGTGTGTGCATCACACAATTTCCACTTACACCCTTTTCTTATGAGAAATGATTATTTTCAGACAAAGGAGAAGTGAATATAAAAATTATAGATGCTATATTTATTTATATTTCATTATGGTTCTTACATATTTTTATATGTATAAATACCCTTATATATATAAATTGTAATATTTATATTACTGTAATCTATACAATTAAATGTTAAATAATACCAACAATAGCATTAATGAAAACCGCATATGTATATTTATATAACTTTGTTAAAATATATCGGAATACCCCAGAATATATCAGCATCCCTGGGAAATCGAGAAGAAATCCTTACCAAAGTTTTGAAGTTCCTAGACTATGGAAAAATTATAAAACATAGATGACAATTTTATAACTAATGATACTTTGCAGATTTATTTATTATTTGTTTATTTTAAAAGTTCATTGATTCATTAATTTCAATTCATTTATTGATTTTTTTTTTTAGTTTATTTATTTATCTATTCTATCTTATTATCTATAACTGTCTATTATTATCATTATTTATTAATTTTATTCTATTAATTCTTATTTTTTTTTTTTTTTTTTGGCCAACCACCTGAACAGTATAAAAGTAGTGTTATTTGGTTGATCGGGTGCTGATGACCTGCTCGCAACACACAACTTTCTCTTACCGCTCAACTTTGAATAGAAATTATATTATAAAATTTTGAATTGCATTTTTAAACGAGCTTATCCATGTATTTTTCTTTTTTCCTCCTATATTCAATTATCAAATTCTTTGAAAAGTTATATCTAGCATTCTTTCATAACTCCTAATTATGAGAAATAGTTATTATTTATAATAAACCAAATTGAAGGTACTTTAGAGGAAGACACGATACTTTGGGATTTCACAAAGGGAAAATTCATCCAATTATTCACTAATTTAATTTTTTTTAAAGTTACATGACGATTTTTTAGAATAAACGGATGTTGATACCTAATTATTATAAATATAATATCCAATCTAGAATTATTAAACTGCAGTAAATGTATTTAAGGTTATAAACATATGCTTAATACATCCATGAAATGATTTGATATTTCACTTACTCTTTCATACAAATATAATGAAATAGTTTTTTAAACAATGGTATTGCCTTGATTAAGTGGATTTTAAATACTTATTTAATTGGATTTAGCAATGCCCTCTCTCCACAACAGTTCGGGTTCAGATCAAACCGCTCAACAACTGACCCCGTACTGTCATTAAGCTTAGAAGCCGAGGAAGCTTTTTTAAGCAAAGAACACCTAATTGCAGTATTCCTAGACCTAAAAAAGGCTTATGATAGAATGGCAAGAAGTCGTGTATTAAGAATCTTGGAAAGATTGGGTATTGGAAAGAATATGTGGACATACATCAAAAACTTTTTGACTGACAGAAAATTTTATGTACGAGTAGGAAACACTTACTCCTCCAGTCATTCCATGGAAAATGGTACTCCACAAGGTTCACCCCTCAGCTCGACGCTCTTTCTCATAGCAATCAACGGAATCACATCAGCTATTCAGATCCGCACTAAATGTTTATTATTCGCAGATGATATAGTAATATCAGCCCATAGCAAATCTTTAGCGTTCATCCAGTGGAAGTTACAAAATGCTGTTGAAAAAATAGAAAATTGGACAAAGGAAACTGGGTTCAAATTATCAGCTACGAAATCCAAAAGTATCCATTTTTGCAGACAACGAAAATGTCTTGTAGACCCTCAAATAAAATTAGGAGACTCCATTATCGAGTATGTAGAAAACTATAAATACTTGGGAATGATACTTGATAAGAAGCTGACTTGGGTTCACCATATAAAACATTTAAGAGACGAATGTACAAGAAGAATTGGACTTCTTAAATGCATTGCCCATTCAAGCTGGGGAGCCGATAGAAAGACACTCATCAAAATATACCATAGTGTGATTCGAAGTAAAATTAAATATGGAACCCAAATATATAGAACAGGTCGCAAAACGTTGCTAAAAATACTTGATTCCATACACAATTTGGCTCTTAGAATCTGCACAGAAGCTTTTCGAACTTCTCCAGTCGAAAGTATATATACCGAATCTGGAGAACCCTCATTAGAGATGAGACGAATATATTTATCTGTAAAATACGTATCCAAGTTAAAAGCATGTCCACAACACCCCTTGAGTTCAAAACTATTTGATGAAGGATCTGGTAGGCAAGAGCTTAAGGAGATAGAGGAGACCACATTTAAACAAATGATTTATAAAACGCTATATAATGTGAATATGGATTTGATCACAATTAGACCCATCCCTAACCTCAAAATCCCTAACTGGAAGAACAGTAAACCAACTATAGATGTATCAATGACAAGACATAACAAAGACCCTCTAAGGTAGATGCGATTACAAATAAAAAAAATATTTCAAAATTAAAAATATTTTAAAAGTTTACATTTAGTTAATAAATTTCATTTAATTTCCTTGAAAACATGTGATTAATGTTAAATAATATTAGTTTTCAAAAATTATTAGTTATAATTCTTTCACCACTCTCTGTCACCTTCTACAACTTTCTATATTAAATATTGTTTTTTCTAAAATTCTCCGCATTCCAACGATATATATTATACTTTCGACCTGGATAAGCATTTTTATTTTTTATCCTCTATTCAATTATCAAATTCTTTCAAAAGTTATATTTAGAATTTTTCTGTAACTCTAAATAATGTGAGATGATTAATTATTTAAAATGAACCATATTAAAGGTACTTTAGAGGAAGACTTATATGTACATTGGGCATTTAAGTCTTGTAAAGTGACATCAATGGGGATAAAACCTGATTGATATTAAAGACCACTTCTTAATACAATGATATACTGAGTTTAATCAAAATCGTTAGAGCCGTTTTTGAGAAAATTGTAAAAATGTATTTCAGCATTGATATAAAATGCCACTTCCGGTTAGCCGATTTTAAGGAAAAAGTTGCTGTCACATCTAAGGCATATACCTATCTAAAATACGTAATATCAATTTTGTACGACTTTTCTTTTTTGAGCTAGACTGCTAACATACACACACAGACCATTTTGTGGAACTTGGTTATTTGGACTCAGGGTACCTCAAAACTTGTATTTCCATTGAAAACTATGATTCGGAAATTTTCACGATCGCAATACTTTCCTTACTATATATAACATATATAGGTAAGTGAAAGTAAAAAATTGAAGGTACTATTTTCAATACTATTGAAAATAGTACCTTAGGAGTGTTTAGGGTATATAGTAGTAGTAGTATATAGGAAAAGCTAATATTGAAAATTAGCCATTTAAGCCTTGTTAGAGAACATCAATCAGAAAAAAATCTACATTTTATTTAAAACGGCTTAATTTTACACTGATATCATTAATTTAATCAAAAGTGTTAGAGCCGTTTTCAAGAAAATCGTAAAAATTAAGTCCATGATATAAAGTGCCACTTCCGGTTAGCCGATTTTGATGAAAAAGTTGCTGTAATATCCCAAGCATATAAAAATCTTAAATATGTAATTTCATTTTAGTACAACTTTTCGTTTTTGGGGTAGACTGTTAGCACACACAGACTATTTTGCGAGACTTGGTTTTTTTAACTCAGGGGAACTCAAAATGTGTATTTCCATTGAAAACTGAAATTCAAAAATTTTCACGATCGCAATACTTTACTTTACTATATATTTCATATATAGGTAAGTGAAGAGGGCGGGGTGGCCGAATGGGCTAACGCGTGTGCACTGCACCGCCGTTGCCCGGCAACCGGATATATGATTCTATGATATGAAAATAATCACGAGTTCACGTCCTGGTGCCAGAGGGGATTTTAAGTTCCCCGCCGTCACCCTCTGGTCCGGGAAAATCCCGTATAGCCTAAAAGGCGAGGTAGGGAAGAACAGAAAAAAAAAAAATATATAGGTAAATGAAAGTAAAAAATCTTTGATGATTTTCTCTTCTCAATTAAATTGGAAAGTCTGCGCCTATGGTTGCTGATGTATTAGTGGTGAATGCATTAAATCATAATATGTTTATATTGAGAAATTGACACAATTGTTTCTTGATTTTGTATATATCTCAAAGTCTCTATTTCAAAAACCTGTTTTTAGTATAGATTTTCCACCTTTGGTATTTCTCAGTATTTTTCTTAGACATTAGTCATATATCTATTTATTTTTTAGTTGTTTACAAACTATTATTTAAATTATTGTATGTATTGTTTGAATCCTTATTAAGTTAGTTTTTGGCCAGATATCTATTTTTCTTTTGTAATTGTTCATTATTGTTATTCTAAGAGGACTTCGTCCCAGAGTAAAGTTTACTTTTTATTTATTTATCTATACAATTATATTCATCACATGTGATTCATCTATCTATGTTTGATAACATATCATAAAACACCAATTATTAAATTGTTATTTCTTTCTATGTTTTCAGGTGCTGTGATGGAAGAATTAGTTGGGAAACTATTAAATTTGAAGAAAAGTAGTTTTGAACCAAAACACGAAAACAATTTAGCAAATGAATTTTGTTGCTACACTAATTATAATAATAGTTTTAAATGACTTCTTTTAATAAAAAACTATTATAACTGTTTTCTTTTTTACAGTGTAATATACACTGAAAAAAATATATATATCATCCTTCTAACTCCCCTTCCCCCCCAAAAAAAGTTATATTTTAAGAAACTGTGGTAATGTTACACTTTGTCAATCTTTTTTTTTTTTTATTTTACTTCCATTTCTTATATTCCAATAATTTTGGCATTTATGAAATATCAATGGTATGCTTTTCTAATAAAATCTAGACCAAGTGACCAAGTGTGAAACTGTTTTAGGCAGCTAAATGATCTTATAATACAGCACACCTATATAAATCTTCTAATTAAAAATTGAAACTTCTCTTCTAATTATTTATCATAACTTCAATAACCAGTACTTATAACTCATTGAAATTGTTAAATTCTATTATAAAGCGTATAACTTTTTTCATGGGATTTAATAATATTATTTAAATGACATAGAGAACACATTTATTTCATAAAAAATGTACCATGAAGACGAGCATTTGACCTCAGCATTTCTTCTTTTATAATTTTTAATAGCTGGAATTTTCATTATGCTTTTGTAAATCTCAAATCTGAAAAAACTGTATTTACAGTTTTGTCCCTCCGGTGATTTATTTATCTTTTTAAAGTTTGATATTAAGATATTTCCTTTTACTATATTCCTTTCATTCTTCTTCTTCCTTGGCGCTACGGTCCATGAGGGACCTAAGCCTCTTTCACAATTCTTCACCACTCTTCTCATTCTGCTACGTCAGCTCTCCATCGCCTGACATCAAGTCGTCTCAAATCCGGCTCTGTCATCTATCCACCAGAGCGGTGCCCTGCCTCTCCTTTCTCCTCCAGGTTGTCCATACAACATTTTCCTTGCCACCCCTCCCTCCGGCATTCTCTCCACCTGGCCCAGCCATCTTATACAGGACACCTTGATGAATGTGTCAATGTCTGTCTTTCCGTATAGGACAGCAAGCTCATGGTTGTACCTGGCTCTCTAGACTCCTCTCTCACACAAAGGTCTCTATATCTTGCGCAGGATCTTCCTCTCCTAGACTCCCAGCATTCCTTCATGTTCAGCTGTCATTGTCCATGTTTCACCGCCGTAAGTTACTACAGGGCGAATCATGGTCTTGTATAATACTTCTCTAGCCTTCCTTGACATACCACGGAATTTAAGTTCCCGCTGAAGGGAAAATAGCATCGGTTTCCCGCAGCTATTCTGGCGCCAATTTCAGCCTTAATATTGTTACCATAAGTCATTAAGGAGCCAAGGTACTTAAACTCCTTGCATACTGAGAAATTATGAGAGCCGATATTTATGGTTTCGTTGTTCTGCAAGGGATGACATCTGCTACTTTTCATGTAGGCAGTCTTCTTTTCACTTATTCGTAAGAGCGCAGACCTTTGCCCTGCTGCCACCTCAAACCCCTCTAGAGCTACAGCCAATGCTGGAGGGGATCCGGCCAACAATCCCCACGTTATCTGCATATGCAAGACGCTGTGTAAGGTGATTAAAGATTATGCATCCTGGGTTTGTTCTGATAGCATACACAGCTTATTCCAAGCTCATATTAAAAAGTGTGGTTGCGTTTGTATCTCCTTGCAAGATTCCTGCAGTTATCTGGAACTCCTCGGAAAGTACCTCGTGCAGCTTCACCTGACACCTTGTATCCCTCATTGTCATTCTTACCAGCCTGATCAGTTTTCTTGAGACACCCAGGGATTGGAGATCTCTGAGCAGTGTTGATCGATTCGCTGGGTCGTAAGCCTGTTTGCAGTCTATGAAAAGATGATGCAGATCAACATCATGTTCCAAGTACCTCTCTAGAACTTGGCACACTGTGAATATTTGGTCTATTGTGGACCTTTCTTGCCTAAAGCCACATTGGTACTCCCCAACTTCTCATTTCATGTGAGCAATAAGTCTTCGGTTGATGGCAGTAGACGATACCTTGTAGGCCATATTCAACAGGGAAATCCCTCTGTAGTTAGAGCAGTAGAGCTTGTCACCTTTCTGATATATAGGACAGATAACCACTACTTTCCAGTCCTCAGGGATTTCTTCTTCTGACCAGATATATATGAGCTGGTCCCATACTTCGTCCCAAGCGTATTTAAGCAGTTCTGCTTCAATCCCATCTATCCTGGGGACTTTATACATCTTTAGATTGCTCACGATTTCCTCTCAGTCCGGCGGGATATCATCCTCAACCCAGTTCCCCTGGTTGCGGATTCAGGATTCTGTCAAGGTCAACTTCCAGTGACCCACTGTCATCAATGATGTGATCTTTATTCAATATCATCCTGAATTATTCTGCTGCTAATTTCTTCCTTACCCTTAACTAAATTTTTATCTTTATTGTTACAAAAGCTGAGGCGAGGTTAAAAGTCTTCCTTCTCGAGTCTCACACCTCCAAAAAAACTCCTGGAATTATGGTCTATATGTATTCCTTTCATTACCAATTCTTAATCAGCTGATGTCTTTTAAACTTTACATTGTGATAATTGAGTATTAATTACCCATTATTAGTATTTTGTACCTGCACAATAAAACGTAAATACTGTATTTAGAAAAGTAATTTCTTTTCGTTGTTTTAAATATTGCTTATCAACTTGACCCATCATATATTAAGTGACCTGGAGTCAGTTTTTAAATTTAAAAACAATGGGAAAACTAATTAGTAAGGAAGGTTATGGTGAGCTTTTACTCCATTTGGAAATCTGTGTGTAATCGTTACATTTATACGTATTAACAAGAGAAACAAGATGGAAAAACAAAACAAGCAATGGTTACTCGGAGCTTCATTTGGCATATTAGGATCCAACAGCCTACAATAATGACTAATTCTAATCTATGTGACAAGGTTTTGTCACTTAATATTGCAATTGTGATGTGATTTACTGTAATCAGCTTAGAATCTTCTTCTTCAACAACAAGGAACAAAAGTTTAAATAGAAGTATAAAATCCCTACCTGTTTTAAAGTTCGCAATTTCGGAGTCTCCCACTTATTTTTATGAATTTATTGACAGGCTTATGAGATTTGTCTATGGGACCCCGATTCCTTCTGAGTTTCCCACTACTATATCGATTTAGAGTGGCTCTTCCTCTACACAAAATCTTGCCCCTCTGTTATATATGCATCTTTTCACAGATCTGCCTTATTTCAACACATCTTTGTTGCCTGCTCCACCACTCCGGAATTCACTCCCTATTGGAATTCATAATGATTCTTTCTTATTTATATTTAAAACTTTGTTTTCTGAATTCTTCATCAAAAAACAATTGAGCAATGGCTAACTATGTAATATATAACAAGACTTTGCTCCCAATATTCATGTTTTACCTAAAATATTAGCAAATCTTTCTTTTCATTTTTCATGCATTACTATATATATATATATATATATATAGATCATGTTTTTTTCGGCCATCATTTTGATTTATCATACAGTCAACCATCAACACAGAATATTTCAAATATAATTTATAGGTTTGTTATTATTCCATAACTCTTCATGTTCTTATAGAAATCATATTAACCTTTGTACAAAACAATGCTAAAACTACATTCAATTCTCTTCTCTAGTTTATTGAAATATTTGTGTCTTATCAAGGACTTCAATACAGAGGAAAAATAGCATAATTAAGATTATGTAAGTATTAAAAAAAAAAAGAAAAGAAACTAAAGTATTATAATCTTAGAAAATTAGCTTTTGATACTTAAGATTGTTTTATTTGTTTAATTTAAAATTGCAGTTATTTGAGCTTATTATTATTCAGCCAAGTTCGATATTAGTTGTTGCCTATAATACTCAACAGAGTGCAGTAGTATTGTCATCGCCTGATTGTTTAAGAAACTGCAAATGGAACTGTTTTATCTTTTTTGTTTCAAGTTATTATATACTTGGTTTTTATTAAATAAATGTAAAATTTATACATTTCAGAATTGAAGAAAAACTATACAATGTGAAATAGTGAAATTTTTTGTTGATATTAATTCGTGAATAGAAAATGAGATTTCATCCCTCTTCATTGGGAATATTACAAGTTTTCTTGTTTATGTATCAACATTTAAGCTACAAAATGTAAGTAATGGTTATTTTAATTTATTTGATCAAAATACTGTTTCAACCTTAAATTTATCCAATTTTTGTTCATTTATTTTAAATGTATGGTTATTTGCACATTATAGTTAACTTAATTTAGTATTTTTTAAATATATTAAAATATTAGAAAAAAAAACAAATTAAGTGTCATGAACTCCATCTATTAACTGACGATATTAATACTACAAAAATTTGTAGCCCCGACGACCAGTAGTGTCACTTGACAATTTGGGACCCAGGACAAATATATTCTTGTAGTCCTATCAAGAGCATATGTCACAGCGTTCTTGAGTGCAAAAAAAAACTGTACGTTATTATTTTGAAATACATTTTATTCAACTTAAAGAAAGGTCCCGTTTTGGCGTGAAAATCGTGGTGGTTTATTTCCGCTTCTCCCCTTAGTTATGCCACTGCTGGTGGTGTAAGCAGTTTGATTTTAGCCATTAGTAAACGTAAATTTAATATTATTCTCATGGCCAATCTACAGAATGAAACTCGCCAGAACTTATTTTTGGACTATTAGGACAACTTACTACCGAATATTTACTTGATTATCGGGTTTTCACTTGTCTGAACCAAATAATGATCAGTTTTTAATTGGATTAAGGTTTAACAAATATCATATGTGTTTTTTAATAGTTAGGTATTTATTTCTCATTGAAGTTGTCTGACAGGATTTAAATGCCGAATTTTCGATTGGCTTCCTATAAAAGTATCTTTAATATGGTTTATTTAAATGGCATTAATAAGAAATGGCTAAATATAAACCATGAAAGAATTAAATCATTAACCAAAATAGAAAAACATTTCTAGGTTGAGAACATATTTCCGAAATAAGAGTAGTAATATAGTGATAATTGAATAGATATTACTACTAGATTATAAAATAGATGATTGACTGTGGTAAATAACTTAAGAGAAGTCGG